CTCCCCAGGGTGATGAACTAGGTCTAATGAAACCTTTGTCTAATAACTCCTGAAGTTGTATCATCAGCTCCTACATCTCCGTCGGTGCTAATCGATAAGGTGCTTTTGCTATTGGTGTGGTTACTGGTAGCAAGTCTATTCTGAACTCCACTTGTCTATCAGCTAGTAATCCAGGAAGATCTTCGGGAAATACTTTCGGATAATCACACACCACTGGAATACTCTGCATCACCTTCTTTTCCTTCTTAGCATCAATCACGAATGCTAAATATGATGTACATCCCTTGATCAAACACTTTCTGGATTTCATTAGGGAAATGATTCCAAAATTTACTCGGCGTTTGTCCTCGTACACCATTAATGACTCTTTCCCCGGCAGGTTCACTTTAACTCTCTTCTTCTTGCATAATATCTCGGCATCATTGGCGCTAAGCCAATCCATTCCCAACACGATGTCGAAACTGTTAAGCTCGATAAGCAATAATTCCTCGTGAAACTTATTCCTATTCAAGTCAATTAAGATGTTTTTATACGATGGCTAAAATGTACAAACTTGTCACTAGAAACGTCGACTAATAAAGCATTATCTAGTCTATCAATAGGCGAAGCTCATTTCCTACCAAACTCATGCAAAATAAAGGAGTAGTTGGCTCCAGAATCAAACAAAATTTGAGCAGGTAATTCGTTTACTAGAAAGGTACCTGAAGCGACATTAGCTTCATCTTTCGCAGCCTCAAGTGTCATCTGAAAGGCTCTCGCCTTCGGCTTTAGTGGAATGTTGGACGGACAGTCTTTCAAAATGTGCCCCTCTTCATTACAGCCAAAACACATCCTTTTGTTGGACGGACACTCATTGGCAAAATGCCCAATTTTTCCACACTTGTAGCAAGTTACATCCTCACTACATTTCCCAAAGTGCTTTTTCTTTCACTTCTCACACCATTTTGCTTCGCCTCCTTTTCCTCCAGACTTTTTCGAATCAGACTTCGAAAAATTGCTTTTCTTATTGAAACCTGAAGTTCCTTCAAACTTTCTCTTCTCGCCAACTTCAACCTTGCTGGCGGTTCTTCCCTTGATCATGTCCTCAACAGACTTGGCAACCCAAATAGCTGCCTCTAGAGTAGGTGTCTGACGAACTAGCACTGCGTACTCCCATGAGAGTCCCTTTGCGTACCGGTCAACCTTTGTCAGCTCATCTGGAACGATACGCAAAGCAAACTCCATCTTGTTTGAAAAGTTATTAGTGTATTTATAAACTAACATGTTGCCTTTCGTCAATGTCAGAAACTTATTCTCCAACTCCAACAGATTTTGAGTCGAGTAGAACTTGCGCTTGAACTGCGCCAAGAACTCTGCCCATGATAATTGCAGTGGCTCATTAGGGCTTAAAGTCTTCCCTAGAGTGTTCCACCAACGAACAGCTCCACCTCAGAACTGACGCATTGCAAAGGTAGTCTGCAACTTGCCTCTGCAGCCACAAGTCATGAAGGCTAATTCCATTTTGGAGATCCAATCTATCACTCCGATCGGGTCCTCCTTTCCAGTGAAGGTCGATGGTTTGCAAGTCAGAAAGTCCTTGTACTTGCATCCCATTCCATCATTCCTTCCATCCTGGTTGTTTTGCCTAACTATCAGTGGGTTGGCTTGACCAACATACCCACTGAAGTTTCCACCTTCCGAGTGCCCTTCATTCACTTCAAGATCTTCCACTTGAATTAACAGTTCTTCACGATTCTGTTGAAGCAGACGTCTCGTTTCATCCATCTGATGATCCAACCTCATCTGAATCATCAATTGTACACCAGCCATTGTTATCGGCTCAGGTGCTGCTGCTACAACAGGTATTTGCTCAATCACTGGTGGTTGATTCCTGTTTTCATCAGCATTTCCAACTCCACTTCTTGTTCTCACCATTTTTGATCTATACACTGAATAAGGTGAAATTAGATCCTTATTCACGATAGATATTCAAATCATCCTTATCACTCCGAAACATTTACATGCTAGTTCTAATATCGTAGACATACGATTAGAATCCTACACACATAAGGTTTCCAGATCCCGTCGGCAACAGACCATAGATCCGAATAAATAATATCATATAAGGCAACATATAACATTTAGCACATAAAAGCATTTTAGGCAACTTTCCTAAAATAAACTAGTGCTCGTGTCTAAAACATAACAGACACACATCTCAAAATTTCACTTAGCATTTTAAGTTTAAGTCTAGAAATCCTATAAATTCCTAGTTTGCTTAAACTAATGCTCTGATCCAACTGTGACATCCCCAAAATCACGGTCAGAAAAGACCGGTTTAATTTATGCTTTTAAAATGATTTCAGAGTAATCCTTTCATTAAAAGAGTTGCAGAATTTGTTTCCAAAACGAAATATGATAAAAATAAGATTCACCAAAGCGTTTCTTAAACAAATGCATTTTTTATTATATTACAATACTTAGGATGTCATGTTCCGATAAACAGACCAACAACATAAACATTTCAATACAGACCTTACAACAATTATTTACAACAATATGTCTATAATCCAAAATATCCTGACAAATCATCCAACTTATGCTCTGGCGCCACTACCTGTAATACAAAGAAACTGAGTGGGTCAGGCTTGGGAGCCTGGTGAGCATATAGGGTTTTCAACCCACAATAAATAATTATATTTAATTCGACCAACCAACAATAACCCATTTACCCATTCCCGTGATTCTCACTTTACGTCCCTAAAACAACTAACACAAGGGACCTAGTCTTAGAATATTTCATCGGGGCGACAACACATGCATTCAGGGGTTTCCCCGCAATATATGTCAAATAAGGCAACCATAAGGGGGATGGAGTACATCGAATGAACACCCAAGTTCATTAACACCTACAGGTCGCGAACCTGCTAGCGTTCCACAAGACTGTCTAGAAAAGTATGTGGTCGTCATCTAAACTCCGCTAGATGATTGAATGAAAAACAACATTGAGCCTCTCATCTGTTTATCACACAATGATCTACCCATGTTCTATCCGACATATTAGTAGATAAAAATATATATTTTTATACATAGTTTAAAACCTGTATAGCATTCTAATTCAATACATATTCCAAACAACAGATGAGACACATACACATAACACGTATTTCATAGAGAATAAATCATATCTATGAGATAGAAGAAAGTGAATATACATTCACACATATAATAACAAAATATACACATAACACGTATTTCGTATAAAATACTTCATAATTATGCGTTAGAAGAAAGTAACCACACACTCACTTGATCATAAGATGATCGGACAGCACTACGACTTATAGAAGTAGTATTCTTCGGCAGATCTGAAAGATCTTCACAAAAATCGGGCTCCTAGCGGGCAGAGCTTCAGCTCGGGAATTGCACTTCTCGGGATCTTCGGGGCCTCGGGACTTGCTTCGGGGCTTGGGAATGATACCAGGGCTTCGAGATAATTGTTGCACGAAAAATGATGCAAAAACGCGAGAGGAAGGGAAGAAATGAGCAAAGAACTCTGCTGCCTTCGCATCCCTTTTATAGGGGTTGAACCACCGAATTACGCTGGGCGTAACTTGGATCAGCTCGCTAACTCCCCCTGGATATTTTATATTTAAATTAAATACCGAAAATATTTAATAAATTTCAAAAATTCATATCTTCCTCATAGGAACTTCGTTTTCGACATTCTTTATATCCCCGCGTAGGTGAGACTATGCTCTACAACTTTCGTTTAGACTCCGTCGGCTAATTTTGAATTTATTTTTATTATTTATTTTTTAGTAGGTCGGGACAGGAAAACTCCATTATAAATTCATAACTTCTTCATCCGACGTCTGTTTTCGCCTATCTTTTTATCGTTTCACTAATATTAATGAGATCTTCTATTCTCGTTTAGATTGTTTCGGCTAAAAATCGCTCGATCTCAAATCGAGTATTCGGGCTGTACACTGCTAAGTCGAAACTTCGAAAAATCATAACTTCCTCATATGAAGTTAGATTTGGGCGTTCTTTTTATGCACGCTCTCGGTTTAACGAACTGTACGACTTTCATTTAGATCACTAGGGCTAAATATCTCTTTAACGTAAATTTCACTTTTTACGTCATTCAGCGTTGCCGGTTCTGTCTCGAAACTTCAACAGGTCATAATTTCTTCGTTATAACTCGGATTTCGGCATTCTTTATATCTTCGGAATCGTTTTTTTGACCACTACATTTTTATGCAAAGATATTGGGCTTATATCACACTTTAAATTTGATGCTTATTTTATTCTTAATTTATTAAATCATAATAATTAAGAAAATAAAGACAAAATTCACATAATACTCAAATATTTCATCATTAATACTTCAAAAAGAGTTACATGGGTTAACCTAGACTATTACATCAAAGATAATACCTAGCCTGGATACGCGGGCGTTACATAAATCATATACTTCATGAAGTTTTGTATGCAATGAAAGTTGGACGTATTAAGACTAAAGCATTTGTTTGAGTTAAAGACAAGGAACACAAATGGAATTATAAAGACAAGGAAGACAAATGGCATTAGAAACATCACAAATGACATTACCAAAAAAATATACAAACATCCAAGTAAACATGTACTTAAATAAAGATGTTAAACATCACAAAATCCATTACGAAACACATGCTAAAGTACCTTACAATACAAAAGATTCCCAAAATACATCAGAAAACATGCATTCCAAAAGATTCCCAAACATAGAAGACCCAAGATGTTAAATACCAAACATTCCAAAAGATGTGTCAAGTTTGTCCTATTGTGCCAAAAGCTATTACAAGACCCAAGATTTCAAAACATGCATACCAAAAGTTGTGCAAAAATATAAACAAGACATTAAATTCAATCTCTGGTGGGTGTTCATTACTGTTTCCCTCTTTGCTCCCTATGTTCTGCCCTAGCATAATTTGTGTAATTATTTCTAAAGTTTTTCTTGTCCTCTTCCTAACTTGAATTTATGCATTGTTTTGAATTTCCTGTTCCACATTATCTTGAATGTTAACTTGAATTTCATGTTCCACTTCATATTGAATCTCTTCTTCAATGTTATCTTGAACTAAACGAACTTTAATGTTAGCATCCACTTTGGGTACTTCAATGTTAGCTTCCACATCAACTTTAGGAACTTTAATGTTAGCCTCCACATCAACTTTAGGAACTTCAATGTTAACCTCCATTTCAGGTACCACACCAATTGTAGCTTCCACTTCAATGTTAGCTTCCACATCACTTTCACTTTCAAAGTCACTATCACTTTCACTTACAAACATAACTGTATGTTCTACTTCCAATTCATCTTCAAGGTCTGCTTGAACATCAACTTTACCTGTAAGAGGGAAAAAGTTCAGAAATGACACACAAGTGTAATATATTAGATAAGTTAGCACCATACCTTATTTCTTAGATTTCTTTTTTTAGAACCTGAAGTAGATGGTACATCATTTGGTCTCTGAGGACATATTGATATGTTATTCCCTTTTTCCTTATAAATGTTACATCATAAGACCATTCCTTTTTTGAGATTGTATGCCTTGTTCCCTTAGCTTCTCTCTCAACCTAATACCTTTTCCTTTTCATTGTTGGTCTTCCAGGTAGCCTTCTTTTTTTAGGAGGAAATGGTTTGGTGTAATCCACTTCAGGCCACATAGAACTACAGTTCAGTGGCCTAATGGTATACCTATAACAACTTGCATACATTGATGTAGTAAACGATTATGACACATAGTCCTCAGGGTCCCTATTGAGGCTTGAAATGGCAACGTATCCATGCACACAAGGATACCCTACTAACTGTCATGCTCTACATCCACATTGCCTGATATTAAGGTCTACAACATATCCATTCGTCCCTACCCTCACCTTAAATTGCATATAACCAGAAGGTACCACTTGCCAAAACCTATCCATGATCATATAGAAATTATAAAATATAAAAATGTCTTAACATATAAGCAATAACAATTTACCTTTGTTGTACTTGATCTTGTTCAACTTCAACCTTATGGAAGGAGATATGTTTAAATCCTAAAATTGACCCTTTGTCTTGTAGATACAAAACCTTTCCATTACATAAATATGTATATCTTCTAACATGGTAATGAGTGGTTTCTTCCTAGCAGCTTCAGTCATTTAGTTAAAACTTTCAGAAACACCATTTTCATATGCATCACAACTCCTATCAACCTGAAAAAATGCTTTACACAAGGTTTTAGGGTCCTTTTCCATCAAATGTTCATAAGCTAGTGGTTCCAGCTTCTTGATTTCATTCGTATGGTACTTAATTTTTTTGTGGAATTGTAGATCCATCAGCTCTCCAAAACAACTTCCTAAATATTTTCCCCTTAAATATTTTCTGGAAATTAGCATTGATGTGCCTAGCACATTGCCTATTTTCTGCAGCTAGAACCTTTTCCTTCACATCTTCAATCAAACCCTATAATCAATACATACAAAGCATAAGATAAAACATATTAAGTATGGAAAATAACAATAAGTGAAGTTTAAACATTACTTTGTGTTGGTTTGATATTATGGTTAGTCCATGCCCAACTCTCATTCCAATGTCATCAATCAGAAGATCAAGAAACCATTTCTATGTTTCTTTATTTTCCACTACAACCACAACCCATGCAACATGATATATGTGGTTTTTTGCATCCCTCCCAATTGTTGCAAGCAACTAGCCTCTGCATATGCCCTTTAAGAAACAACCATCTACTCCAATTACCCTCTTACAACCCTCTATCCATCCATCCTTTAAACCCTTTAAACACACATGAAACTTTGAGAAGTATGTTTCTCCAATATGCATCACATCCACCTCCATCTTAACTGTTGATCTGGGATTTGTCCTTTTTAGCTCTTCTCCATAGCTCCATGTTTTGGCATAATGCTCTATTAAAGTAACTTTTATTTGTTGAAATGCATATTTCCTAGCATTTCTGCATTATCCAACACTCACTATCAGGTTAAACCTTTACCGACCTTAGATTTCAATTTCCTAATGCTCATCTTTGGTTTCTATAATATTTCATTCATGAAATGAGTTCTAATCCATTTGTAGCTTACAATGGACCCAAATTTAAATACTCTTGAACAATTATGCCTATTAATTAAGGACTTAATCTGAAAAGACCTTTCATTCTTCATGCAGGTTGCCCACAACCTAAAGGGGTAACTATTATTCTTCTTATGTTTACAACATTTTACCAATAGCTTTTAATGATCATTTTTTTCGTACCATAAATCATATCCATTCTTGATGGCAAAGTTGGTTAGACATAGCTTCAACTCAAGAGGGTTGGAAAACTTCATACCTAAACCTGGGACCATTTTATCCCATTCTTGATTCTCATCAAAGACAGGTAACACAACCTCATCATCTTCATCACTAACTTCATCATCATCATCATTTACTTCTTCTTGATTACTATTTAGAATGGGTTCACCACACAACTTGTTCAAAAATTCATCATCAACTGTTTTGTCAAAAGTATGCACCTCTTCATCAGGTTCATGCTCATATTCCATTATATCTGAAATATGTGAGTCCGTATCATCATCTTCTACCAACTCAGACACCTCATCACCAGTTAACATCTCTTTATCGGCCTAGTCAAGAATAGGTTCGTTTTGGTGGTCAATATAGACATCCATTCTTAGCTCGTTCTTAGCAATGTAACCATCTTCAATAAACTCAAAATAATCAACATCACTGTCGATTCCTCTAATACCCTCTGCCAATCTTTCATGACTACTATAATAATACAAATTATCACATCTTCGTCTTGTCAGCTTTGAAACCCATAACATAAATTCTCTATATTTCATGCCACCAAAATCCACATCACGAACTAACATTCTCATACGGTCTAAGTATACTAATGGGTTTGGTGCAAACATTCCATTGTAGTGAAAATCTACAGTGAGATACATATCGTTAGGTGATTCCATTGTAGTGTCTACAATCGACGGTTTCAATTCCCAACTTCAGTTCCAAACAATGAGCTCCTAATGCTTCAATCGAGTGATTTCTGAGAAAAATTAATTAATTGGGAACAGTTTGGGGAAGGATTTCGGAGTATTTGTTAAGAACCCTAATTAAATGAGGTCGATTCACCCTGATTAAATGAAGTTGAATCCGGACAAAAGGTGTAATAGACACGTCATATGCCATGTAATTTCTTTTAAATGAGTTAACTTGACTTACCGGTTAAAACTTGTATTGGCCGATAATATTGGTGTAATTTAAACGGGTAAAACAAGTTAGTTGTTTTATATGTGCAAAAAAGAAGAAGTTGCAAATATGTGAATAAGGATAAGAGGTAGTTACCCTCCTAAGTCATTTTCCCTAAATAATTAATATTTTTTGTATAATATATATATATATATATATATATATATATATATATACTTTTTACAACGTTTTTTTTATAGATTTTACAAGGTTTATTACAAAATGTTTTAAAATTTTTACAGCATTTAGGACTTTTCTAAAGGTTTTACACTTTTTTTTATACATATCAAAATTATCAAAAAAAGTACATATGTTGAAACCTATAAAAAGAGAAATTATAAAATTAAAACCAATAGTTGTATAAAAATATAAAAAACAGATACATCCAGTTGAAACTTGTACAAAGAGAAAATTTAAATTGATAATAAAAAATAGATAAATTTTCACAAATAGTACTTAAGCTTTTCATTTTATCCCTAAAATAGTCCTTATGAAATATTTTTTATATGAATGGTACCTACAAAGCAAACATTACACACAAATTATTCTTCTGATGTATGTCTCTTAAGTTGAATGAGTTTTGACTAAGGACAATTTCTATCATTTTGTGAAACTTCGCCTAAGGACCATTTGTGAAACTTTATCTAAGGATAATTTGTGAAATTGTAATGAAGTCTATTAAATCTTGTATTAATTCTCATAAATCAAATAAAAAGACAAAAAAAAACTAAAACATATAAAATTTAATATTTATATAAATAAAAAAATAAAACTTACAAATTTTAATGATCATGCAAATATATTTTACTTAATATATAAATAATTTATGTTATCTAAACTTTATATAAAATACTCAAACTACAATACATCATTAAACATTTTCGTTTTTTTTATCTAAAAAATTGAAGCATAAAAACATATTTTGTTACTTTTTAAAATTTTACATGATGTAATTTTCAAGATTCATCTTTATTTTTCTTATTCAAATATTTTTATTTAATGAAAAAATAGGATGTGTTTGTGTGTGTGTGTGTGTGTATATATATATATATATATATATATATATGTGTGTGTGTGTGTGTGTGTGTTATTATAAAAATAATAGTATGATGCTACTTTTTTTTAGAATATAATTATGTTGTTTTAAGTTAAAGGTAAAAATATGTTTTGATTTTGGTTTCATAATATAAGTACAATAAATTTTATATTGGTTTTATATAAACTTTTGATATCTAGTTGTAAAAAACTGTTTAGTTTATCAAATTTTGAATAAATTAAAAACATATGTTAAAATGTTTGTGTTTCAAAATTAATAATGTATCATGTCATTTTATAAAATTAAATATATTTGTGTAAATTATTATTTCTAAAAGGTTTATGTTTGTGTTTCATAAATAGTTACATATACAAATATATTTACTTTTGTAGTGACCCAATAATGATGACAAATATGGAATAGTAATGATTAATGTGAATCAAACATAATGAAAGAACACGTTATGTAGATAAAACCAGTTTAAGTACTCATTTAGAATAGAAAGTATTATAAAGTGGGTCTTGTAATGATTTCTCTCTCTAGACAAAATCTCACACATATGGGTTTTTACATAAAATTGGAGTCATTTCCAATTTATAGGAAACACTAAACTCATTACACAATCTAGGAGGGTAATCCTACATCACATCCAAGGAGAAATTTGCACCCTAACATTCTTCCCCTCAAAGTTAGGATTGGATGTCTCAGTTTCAATATCCAAACGAGCTCCAAGCGATCAAGACCAAGTCCCTCTCGAAGTAACATCGATCTTCAAATCCACTTTGAAAAAAGAATATCCAATACTCTTTAAATACCCATTTCAAGGATATGAGAAACGCTCGAGGAATAAACCATACGAAACTCCCCCTCAATGTGTGCCAAAAATGAAACCTTCGATCCGAGAAAATCCAAAAAATACATCAATGTCTTCAAAGCTTTGACTTCCCAGACTTGAAAATGAACACATGTTGTTCATATACCATGAAAAATCGTGCATCAAAAACAATCATGAAAAGCCGAGAAAATTTTTCAAGAGTTGTGAAAATTTCAACTTTTGGGTGAGAGTTGCATGAATTTCGAAAAATGGATATAAACAACCATTTTCGCAAGTACTTCAAGGACCAGTTGCGAAAAATCAGCTTCAAATTCATTCCAGATGCGAAACTTTACCCCAAATGCGAAAGTGGGTATAAAGTGCATTTTCGCATAAACTTCAGGGACCAAATCTGTAATTTTTCCAATATATTCCATAGATTTCAAGTATTTCATTATCTAGGTGTATTCTATCAAAACTATGAAACTATAAGGACCATATGCGAAACTGTGGTATGTTCTTCCCCAATTCATTTCTAGATGCGAAAGAACACAGGTACCAGTCGAAATCGACTCCAAGCAAATTAGCTTTTAACACACAAGCTTCTTTGAACATTCGACTCTTAAACATTCTGCCCTTCACGCCTTTCGACTGTGGGACTCGATTGCAAACATTCTTAGTCGAAAGAATGAGCAGCATAAGTCGAAAGTCCTTACTTTTGGCTCCAAGAAAATCCAAATAAAAGTTACTTTCAACTTCAACCAATTTCCATAACAATCGAATTACCAACACCACAAAATCAAGACTCCAACTCTCGATTTGAAACTTTAGCTTTCGTTCCCAAGACTACCACAGACCCAGAAAAGTCACCTTCATTTCCAATTATTCTCAACTATGTGGCTTTTGACTGATCGACTCAAGCAAACATCAATTGAAATCGAGACTACAAACACTCAATTCCAAATCACAACTTTCGATTCAAAACAAACAATATAACCATCGAATGAGAGCTTTCAACTATCAGGTAGTCACTTTTGTTACCAAGTTTTCCCAATCAAAACCATTATCCAAATTAAAGACTTTCGATACTCAAGGCTCCGAATTTCGATTCCAGGCCTTTTTTCTAATCATTGATTTGATTATGACCATCAATATCGAAAATCCCAGTCCCCGTTTGATAATTCAACTCTTAATTAACCATCTAAAATCATATTCCCAAATAATTTTGTTCGATCCCCAAAACTAAATCAAATATCAATAACGAAATCTTAAATCCACAATCTTTCAACCTTGATGTCAAATCCCATTTTTAGAAGTCGAATTCATTATCAAAACCAAAAACGAGTTCCAAAATCGAATTGAATACAAAAATCGATTACTCTATATTTATTCACAAAAATTATTCGTAACTAACTCTTCAATTGAATCGACTTCGATTATCAAGCGCATCATCATAAACAAACTTTCTTTCCAATTCATCTTTCCAATTGAAAATCAACACCAAAACATCTCAATTTCAACCTGGAATTTACTTTCGATTGAAGGACGTGATTTATGTGCCTTATGCAAGAGAAAAGAATAGGTGATGAAATCGAGTTCGATTTGGGCTCAAATGATGAACAATATTTGAATTTTAAGTAATGGACTCAAATTTTATGGATCAAATGAATAGAATATTTAACTGGAATGAGATTGGTTTCGAAGTTTGAGTAAACATGGATCATTCATCTTCGGATCTTCAGAAAAATGAGGTATTGATCTCAAAAAGAATTTTTCAGAGCTCATTTGAGAATTTAAGAAACCCCTTTGAAAATTCTTTTCCCATTTGTAATACATGAATCAAACATGGAAGATCTAGGTTCCTTGGTTGGAATTAGAAATTTTCAAAATTGCACATTGTACCATCCATTATGAACAATGTACCATCCATGGAACTTCTTCTCATTTCTCCAAGATCTAACTTCATCATCATGTTGAATTCGAGAATCTTCGACAATTTTGGCTTTGGAATTCGAAACCATAGCAACATTTGATGATTGTTGCTTAGGAATCTAAATTTTCTTCACTGATTTCAACATCAAACCAACATTTGATGAGTTTTTCTTAGAAACCCAAATTTCTTGGTTTTAGTTTTGATCTTCTTCTTCTTCATCATCATTTTTTTGGATCTTGAAGATTTGAAATAAAAAACAACATTATTATTGACAACTTCAACTTTGCAATTTTGAATCATATCCTTTTGAGTTTGATACATTTAAACAACTCGGATTGAAGGCTTTCTATATGGCACCATTCCTTCAAATGAATTACAAGAACACAAACAATCATCGGTTTGAATTCCTATTGAACGAAAAACTTTCACAACTTCATGAGAATCACATTGAATCCCCTGGTCTTGAGCTTCAAGAACATGATGAACTTCTTCAAGAATATCTTCAGCAAATTCAAGGGCATGAAAATCACTTGGATCTTCAATTATCAAAGCATATTGCTTTCTAAATAATTCTTTTTATATTTCCTCCTTTTTATTTCCATCCCAGACTAACATATCCATCGTTATTTCAACCGGATTTTTGATCTTACAAAGAGGTTGAAAGATCAATTTTCTAGAATCATCTTTCTCGTTCCCATATGAAATCATAGTATTCAATGTAATCAATCCACTTTTCAACAATAATCCATACTATTTTTCTTCATCGACTTTGTACTTGACATCTTCAATCATCACATCATGTATTAAGAGTCTATGAATAGGAACTTATAGAACAATAGAGTCAGATAAAGGATGTACCTGAAGTAGAGTCACACGACTTGACTTTACTATCTCTAAGATCTTTCGGGTTTAAAGATCCCATGGCTAGTTTCCA